ATTGTAGATCTTTTTTTGAAATATCAATAGTAATCGTGACTTGCAGATCTATCCATAAACGGATTTTTAACCATGCTCAGGATCCCATTCTTCCTCCTCAAAATCATTATCTTGAATAACAACTCTCATATTAGACTCCTCATTATCATTATCTTCTTCACAATCATAATTAGAATCTAAAATTACCTCATCTAAATTATTTGTAAAATCAGATGCATCTAGATTCAAGATTCCTTCAATTCTAAGTGTTTCTTCTGTTGGAAATGTGAAAATGTTGTGTGTCTCTTCAGCAATTTGCACCTCTTCCAAATTTTCATCATCATAAAAATCTGTATTACACAATATATCATGTAAATCTTCAATGGGTTTTCCTACTGAAAAATATGGTAATTCATTTTTCAAGTTTGAAAGATAGAAAGAAGAAAGTTTTTGCATATTTTCAATTTTTCCTAAAGAAAGTCATGTTCTACGCTTTCCATAATACCATCCAAATTCTCTCACAGCCAGCTGCATGTGGAGTTATAGAAAACAACTTATTAGCTAACTGGCAAATGTGATCTTCACCCTTTTGGTAGAGAAAACCACCACATAAAAGGTGACTCATCAGTATCAAAAAGCATATCAAAAGGTGGTTTTCGGCCCCGGTACATTCTCATTTGAGACATTAACTCTTTCCTCTGTTTTCTGTTTTTACCCATTTTTTCATAGTAATTATCTGCTGTGAGTAAGATACGTCGCAATGCACCTTTTGCCCATACAGAATCTATAATTGTTTTAAGATTATTATAATCCTGTAATCTAATTTAAAAATATAATAGAATTTTCCTTACCATCATATCCAGGGTGTAAGAAAAAACATAAAACATAAGCATCATCATCAAATTCTGCAAATTGATTATTAAAAATTGCAATTGCTTGTTGTCAAAAAGTACGATGGTCATTCTCAGGAAGTTTTTTAATTGCTGCACCCAGGCAAACCAAACCAATAAAGCAATCTGCCAATGAACAATTTCGTGATTCTAGAGTAGATATTGCCATTTTAATTGGATGCAATATAAATGCTAGAGCTTTCAAATCATCAAGGAATGCTCTTTTATGCAATATTGTTTGCACTGAAGTATTTAAAATTTCAGGATTATCATTGAGAATCTAATAAATTTGAATGTTATAAATATATTTATTTAAATAAAAGGAAAAAGAGGAAAGTATTTGAATTTCAAATTTACCATTTCTAATGTCACTTTATGATTTATAATAGACAAAACACAATCATACATAGTATGCCAATGAGTATTCACCCATTGTTTAAGTCCACCTCCTTCAACATGATTTTCTTTGGCTAAAGTTCTGAGTGTATCTCCTATAATTTATTATACTTTAAGTTGATTTGTCATCTAATTTCAGATAATATTTAAACATACCTACATAACCTGCAAGATAACTTTTTTTAAAATAAGTAACTAAAGTATTGGAATATTTAAGCATGCGGTTTGCAAATGGTGTATTACAAATATCTTTTGAAATAAGATTGATAGCATGTGCTATGCATCTAATATTTAAGATATTTGGATATTTTTCAGAAATAATACAACGAGCAGCTTGAACATTGGCACCAGCATCTGTAACATTCGCAGAAAATTTTTCTGGTCCAATTTTTTCTATGACTTGTTCCATTTCTTGAGATAAAAGCTCCTGTGTATGTCTTTCATTTGATAAGTTTCGAAGGCTCCATAAATACTGATTGTGATCAGGAGTATGTACAACAAAATTCCAAATTGATTCATTAGAAGGATTGCACCATCCATCACATGCTTATAAAGTTACAGTTTGAATTTTTAATTGTAAATAAATAAAATAATCTAATATATAAATAACCTAATATTTTAATTGTAAATAAGTAATAAAATTTATAACATACCCAAAGTCAAGTTTTTGGAATTTTTTAATTCTTTGATTACTGCTTGATTAACAAAAGCTGTTTCTTGTGCCAAAAGACAACCAGAAAGAATATCCTTTGATGGAGGTTCATATGCTGGACGTAATGTTTTCAATAACTCTATGAAAAAAGGATTCTCTACAATGCAAAATGGAATTCCACAAACAACAAATAATTTTACCAATGCCCGATTTATATCATTAATACGTTGAGGTGTTAGTTTAGTGCTTTCAATATAATCAGGAAGTATTGATTGATTGCTGGATTTTCGTTTTCTTGTTGTTGTTCCATTAGCCTTTGTAACTAACCTTTCCAAAAAAAAATCGCGAACTTTTACTGGTACTTTTACACATAAATTACCTAAGTGATTTTCAAGAGTAGCAGGTGAACCTTTATACCAAAATACCCCACAAAAATTACATGTAGCATTCCAATGTCCCTTTGAAACTTCTCTTCCTTGTTTGATGTATCTGCCCCATACAATTGACTTAGGTTTTCCACTAATTTTTTGGGAGGATACAGTCAATGTATCATCATTTGAAACAACAACAGGAGACACATTACTATTGAAAGAAATATTTTCTTCTGTAACAAAAGATGAATGGTCATTTATTGTTTGTTTTCTTCCATTTTTAAATGTTAATTAAAAAAAAAAAAAATTTTCAATTGATCTTCATGAAAAATTACTATTGGTCAGAAATTGATCATATGATTTCGGATAAATTTCGCCTTTCAGCTTTAATTTCGGATTTGGGCTATTTTGGACATTTTAGGAATTCTGGTGTCTGGCGAAACTAATTTCGCATCAGTTTCAGATTCGGATTGGGCGAAAGGGTTAGGTTTCGCCCAAGGTTGGGTGATGAAAGTATTTTGGAGTGTAAAAAGTATTTCGTCAAATGGGGCACTAGTGACGAAATGTGACAAAATTGATGAAACGTGACAAAAGTGATGAAATGTGACAAAAGTGACAAAGGGTAAAAGTCAAAAGTCAAATTGTGATAAAGATGACAAAAATATAAAATTCAATTTTATTAACATTAATAAGGATTTTTTAGGGGGTTTGTGGATTTATTATTATTTTTTTGGTGCCACAAAAAAAATTTTTAAATTTATTATACAAATTGGCAAACTTTGCAAAATTACAAAACTCAAAATAACTCTTAAACTATATGTTATATTCAAATAAAAATTTATGATTTAGATTCACTTT